ATTAAGCATTTATTCCGGTATGACCCCAAAAGGACGCTTGTGGAGGCCAGCTGGATGCAGTTGCCAACTCCGGCCAATGAGCGAAAAATCGTCAGTCGGCTGAGCTTCACAATTTACGGTATTGTAATTTGTTCCGAAAAAGGTTGCGGCTGAGCGTAACATCTGTGGATTCAAAATCCTTAAATATCGCTCTCTCACGACTGTGTGTTAAGGTTAACACTTCGTTCTTGTTAATTAAATTCGTCGTATTGTTCTAATAAATTAAGTTATTATTCAAGCTTGCTGTTGTTCGGGGATTGTAGTATTTTAACGTAAATAAACGAATTAAGATATAATTTTAAAAAAAATTTTTTGACTGTGAATAAGGTAAGACAGCTCACCATTATGTGAAATACTAAACAAGGGGCTGTTTGAGACCTAATTATTCCGGGAGCAGTCCTCAGAAAGGTCGAAAAGAAGTAATAACTTAAGTAAGTAGAAACTGCTACAAAGCTTAAAAGATAGCAGTAACTTTAGTCAGTAGGAACTATTTGCGTTGAGCAACGGTAGAGACAGTTTTCTGGAATCGGACGTCTTTGTGAGGCAATAAACGGCTATTCACATCTCACAAGGGAACAAAAGGAAGCGGCCAAGGTTCCCCATAGGGACATATAGAGGAAAGATTGTAACAAACTCCTCCTCGGTTTTGAAATTCTGTCGATAGCCGCGACAATTTTCTTGTAACCTTGAAGCTATCTTGTTGACGATTCTCTTTCCTAGTAACGCTACTTGTAGGAACCTTGTTTCCGCTAAGGACTTACGGTATTTTTCTGACTCTTGCCTAGAACTCCGATCTCAGCGTTGCCATGTAATTGCTTCATTCTTTATTTTCCTTCTCAGTGTCTGTTATCATCCCTGTCAGGTTCGCTTTAAATTCTATCAATTCCTTTCTGGCCTTTGCGACTTCCGGATGCGTTCGTCTCATTCCTGGAATGCCTTCAGTTCGTCGTGAGGGGCTTTGACTAAGACCATAATGTTTGCCTTAACGGGCTTGGACATCTTAACTTCTTCCCCGTCGCCCTTTAAAGTTTTGTATACTTCTTAACCGCTGCTCAGGCTTAGAAGCTTGAAGCTTTTTAGTCCTAGCCTAACTTTTGAACTCGAAATATCCTTAGGTCGCTGGTTCGAGTCCGGCTGGTTGGATCAGTAAAATTCTGTTGCGGCTACCAATAGAATTTCAAAACCGAGGAAATGTTTGTTTCAATTCTCCCTCTGTATGTCCTTATGAGGAACCTTTGCCGCTTCCTTTTATTTCCTTGTAAGATGTGAATAGCCGTTTATTCTCTTACAAGGTTGTACGATTCCAGAGAACTGGCTCTACTGTTGCTCAGCGCAAGTATTTCCTACTTACTTAAGTTACTGCTACCTTTTGACGTTTGTAGCAGTTTTTGCTTACTTAATTTCTTACTTTTTCCCGACCTTTGTGAGGACTGTTACTGGAATAAGCAAGTCTTGGACAGTCCTTTGATTACCTTTGATTAGTACTGCGCCTTAATGGGGAGCTGTCTTACCTTATTCACAGTCAAAGTATTTTCGTTCCCCCCTTTCTTTGTTTTTTGACAAGTTATATCTTAATTCGTTTATTTACGTTTAAATACTACAACCCACAAATAACAGCAAGCTTGAATAATAACTTAATTTATTTCAGAACAATACAACGAATTTAATAACAAGAAAGGAATGTTGAATTTAATACGCAGTCGTGAAAGGGCGATACTTAAAGACTTTGGACCCACAGATGTTACGCTCAGCCGCAACCTTTTTTGAAACAATTTGCAGTACTGTAAAGTGTGAAGATGAGCCGGCTGGCGACGTTTCGCTCATCAGGCGGAGTTGGCAGCTGCATCCGGCTGGCCTCCAAAAGCGTCCTTTTGGGGTTATACCGGAGTAGGTGCTTAATAGGGAAGGGGTCGTTTTGCGCGTAGTTGTGACAGGATGGGATAAAGGTAGTAATAAGGCAATCCATTTCTAATTTGGTGTGAAATTTTTTGGTCGCAAAATATCATTCATTATAGCTGAATTTTAGCGGTTTTGGCACAATGCCACTGTGTATTACGAAGACGTCTGGAGATGATCCGCGTGATCTCCGTAAAAGTATGCTGGGCTTCTAAGTAACTTGAGTAAATGATGTTGCTGCTATTTTACATTGTTTATTAAGGTCTCATTTGTTTGAGTTTGCGATTTCATATTGTGATTTTCATTTTTAGCCGAGATTTTAGCCAAAATACGAAAGTTATTTCAATTTTTTACACATACTTTTTAACAGTTCTACTCCAATAACTTTGTTAAGTGTTCATCTACCTTAGCTTTCTTCTTGGAAACTGTAATCTTTCGTTCAACGTGCTTTAAGAAAATGTAAATAGGATGTAAAATAAATTATAGACAGTCGAGAAAGGCAGTGATGAAATGGCAGGAGAAAAAAAATACAGTAGCTTAGTAGCTAAGGAAACTTTAAAAAAGACTAAAACTGGAAGTAATGATGAGGAGATAAAAGTGGAAACATATGCTATGTCTAACTGGTTTATACGAAAAGGAAGAAAAAGAAGACTGAAAGGGTTGAAATTTGTACGGCTAGAAAGAAAAAAATAAAGCGAGTGGAGGGTCCGCAATGTGGTGTTTCCTAGCAGAACTGTATGACCCAGGATGTCGGCTGCCAAACAACTACGAATATGGAAAATGTCGGATGTCAGAAGACTCCACTAACGAAGTAATCAGTTTTATTTAAGTAACAAGGTTTTTTAAAGTAGTAAGTTCTTTTTTTTAAAGTGTTTAGATTCTTTTTTTTTTCAAGTAATAGATTTCTTTTTTTAAGTAATAAGTTTCTTTTATGTAAAAAAACAGCATTTCGAAGTCACAAAGTTTTTGGTGTAAGACGACCCCTTAGTTAGTGGAGTCTTTTGATACCAGAAACTTTGTTGCTTTGAGATGCTGTTTTTTTTTACAATAAAGAAATTCATTACTTAAAAAAAAGAGGCCTATTACTCAAAAAAGAAATTTTGTTACATTAAAGAAACTTATTACTTAGAAAAAAGAGACCGAATACTTTTAAAAAAATCTAAGCACTTGAAAAAAAGGACTTACTACTTTAAAAAACGCTATTGCTTGAATAAAAACTTTACCTTTGTAATGAAAAATAAGTCTTAATTTTTATTCAGCCTTACTAGTATTTGGCAGTCTCTTTTTTTTATCACTGAATTTAAATTTTATTTTTTTTTTAGACAGAGAAAGTACACTAACTACACTGAACTAAAACCTACTTTCCAACCTAAAAAGTACATTATTAGAAAAACGTATAATTTATTTTTTTGTAAAATTTTTACAAGTTGAGGCAAACACTTGGCAAAACTTAAGAATGAAAAAAAATTGTAGGAAGATGGACAAAAAAAGTTATATTTACTCGTAAAGTAACAAAACCAGTAAACAAAAAATCGAACAAAATAACACATTTCGGCTAATAACTCAGCGAGGAAGCCAAATTTCAGCACAATCAAACAAGCAATTTGTTGACAGAAATTTCACGATTAGAATGACACCAAAATCATTACAAATTTCCCACAGTAAGAGTCTTAAAGACGCTCTAGCATGAACCTAGATCAACATTAGCCCGGATTGCCAGCCGACCGTGTTACTATAATTGTGGTCCCGGCACGACAAATATTTTCACACCAAATTGGAAGTGAATTGCCCTATATATGTTTTCTGTCATTTACTGATTCCTTTTCCTGTTTTTTTCTTTTTTTTTTCCGCCATCATTGTCACTGTTAATTTTTTTTATTATTGTTGCAAGATTTTTTTTACATAGGGGACCATCAATGAACAGTATTGAGCTACTAAAAAAAAATGTGAAAAAGTTGAAAGAAAGGAGAAAAAAAGTATTTCAAATTACATTAGTTAGGCACACAACAGGTAGTTACAACAAATAATGTTAAAAAAAAATCGTTTTGATATTCCTACCTATACTGTACCTAAATGTTCTGAAGTTTAAAGATCACTGAGTCTTCAAACGGTTATCATTGTAACCGATTTGAAGATAATCATTTTGCCTTTTTTTTTTTTTTTTTTTTGAACTTTTGTCTGTAAACAGTTTTTCAAAGCCAAACAAAAATGCCTATTGAAAGGTAACAGACTAAATTAAACAGCATATATGAGCAGCTTTGTTTTTCTAAAAAACTGGAAAAACTAACACATTTCTGATGTGTTTGAAGCAACTGTGTTCTGAAAAATATCCAAAACAACCAGAATTTCTACCCCATTTTAACAACACAGATAAATATTTTAAAACTACAGTAGTCTGTTTAAAGCTTAAAAATGGCAACAACCGTATATGTTTGGATAGGAAGAACTTGAGTCCCATCTAACAGTTTGTAATAGCTGGTTAAACGAGACCAAGAAACAGATACTGCAGTTGCACCGGGATTCATTTAGAACCATTTTTTGAATCACCCAAAAGTTGCCTATTTACTTTTCTACATCAGTGAGCATTCTTTTTTTTTTTTTTTCTTCGATTAAAGTCGCTCAGGAATAACTAGGCAATTTTAAAAGCAATACAGACTTAGTGCTAGCATTTCCGCTGTGACAAACATAAAAAATTTCTATTAAGGGAGGAAACAAACAAAGGAACAAAAAAGGCAATATAAAAAAGTTTGAATAAAAAAGAAACAGAAAATACAAATTTAATTATTGAAATTGAGCAGTAAAATATTCTTAAACAAATTTTATACCTTTTTTCTTCCTGTTGTTGTTCAATTGTCTTTGAGACAACAAGGAATTATTGGTGGTGATGATGACAATGATTAAGAGAAGCTTTGAAAAAAGTTTTTAAAGCATTCAAAATTGGAGGATATAATACCTCTAAAAGTTTAAAAAAAAAAAAAAAAACAAAAAAAAAAAACAAAAAGAAATGTGGAAAAAAGATAAAATTATTTGAACCTATAAAAAGTTTACGAGGAAAGAACAATTCTTCGGCAAAAACACCAACAGCATATTGAATGTACAGAATGAGAAATAAATGCATTTTGTTAAAAAAGCAGATAAACTTCATCGCTGTTGTCTGATAATTTGGAGCATCCAAGTGAAGCCATTATCATATAATCAACAGCTTTAGAAATTCTGTCTGTTGGTATTTTTATGTGTTTGCCTCTGTCTCTTTTCTTCTTCTTTTTCAACTCTTCACGGTTGTCGGATATAACGTAAAGTAAATCTTGCACTTCTGCCATTTGGATGGAATATAATCAGAATTTGACTGCCGTCGGATAGCGTATCTTCCTTTGGACGATAGCAACAACTGTAATACGTTTTTGTTACCAAATTAATGCTGTTGTTTTGATGTATATTAACTGCGTATTTTAATGTTTCTTAGATAAGTGCATCATATAATACATTAAAATGGGACCTTCGAAAGCCAGTTAGCCTGAGGTCAAGTTTATGTTTGATCTCCACATATGATTGGCAACCATATGAGCAAGGAAATTCACCATCGCTTAGTCGAAAACGAACTCGGCTTCCTTCCGGAGCCTAAAAAGACGTCATTAAAACTATGTTGAATACATTAATATATTTATTTACGTCAAAAAAGTTGGGTGGCATTAAAATAAGCGAATTTATTTTAACACAAATGCTATTATTTCTTTTTTTATTCAAAAATTTCTGACCTTGATTCTCCAATAACAGTTGATGTTTTTACCAGGTGGGCTAACAAGGGTTTGCCAGTAATCTTCTGCTTTCAGTTCGCCACCACAACCTTCAAAAGTCATTCATGAGAAAATCACATAGTTTTTTAAATATTCTTCTGATTCTGAGCAACTGTACAATTTGAAAAAAAAGAAGCTTCATTTGATTGTTCTCTTTCACTTCCAGTTTTTATTCGTTAGCAGATAAGTTGTTTCTCGACCAAATCTTATCTTGTTGTATTTATTAAAATATTTATTAATCTGGGTTTACTCAGTTTA